CATGTCTCCGGATACGTCATACGGTTCCTAATTTTACGTCATATGGATTTGTATTGTCATTCCATTTGTAAGTATTTGTTCTGTTTTGATCGTAGGTTTTCACCGCATTCTGATTAATACATGGTTACACTTTATACAGAGTTGTTTGTTCTCAATTCGTAAGGCATAACAATTTTCATAGAAGTTTAAACGAGCATGCTTCTTCATATAATTGACCCTGTTACGTTGCTCTTTAAATTTCATAATATCGACAGATTTACTTGAAAGCCGTGCCTTTTTATGTCCCTAATTCCAATATTTTTCCTTAACTCGGAAGTCATCCAGGGCTTGTCACCTGGCCTAACAGTTACTTTTTTGCTAGGGATACATGGATTAGCAAAACTTAGATACATTTGAGTAAAACCATCACAAGCACTATCCATACTCGAAAAGAAACTTTCCCAGTCATATTCTGAAATCAAATTACCAAAACGACCAAAATCCGCTTGTTTATATAACCAAAACTTCTGTTTATACACAGGTTTCGTATTAAATGGTATTTCAATAGATGCCAAACCACCGTCGTGATTACTTAAAGATCTGTCAACGGTCAAAACATATGCTTCGATACAAGTGACTGAGGCACTTAATATAATAGGATCAAGGAAACTAGCCTTAATATTGCCAACACTAGTTGGTTCTTTAATTACATTTCTAAGACCATAAGTCAAAAGTAATTCTGAAAAATTATGTCTAGGTTGAACTGTTAATATGTCTACATTTAAATCGCCATTAATAACCAAGTTTGGAGAAATATCTAAAGCTCTCTCTACTGATTCACTTAAACTTCCCAAAACGGATTGTTAGAGTTTTCTGGTCCATAAGTAGTACATACAATAATAGAAGAGTGGTGGAATTTTATCTGGGTCCAGAGAATCTCACATCCTGGAATTTCTAGTTCACGTAGACGCTTAAATTTGAGTTTGTCATTCACATAGACAAGAGTACCCCCTCCCGCAAAATTACGATCTAAACGAAGTGGTTCGTGGAAACCTTCAAGAAACAAACAAAAATTATTTTCTAAAGTGGAACGTTCTAAAGTTCTGCGCACGCACACTTCCGGTACAGGCACATGTAAAATGAAATGTACGTCTCTGTACTGCATTATATTTTGATTATCTATAGATTATTTGTACTGATACAAAATCTTGTGTTAAAATAAAAAAAAGAAGAAAAAAACTAAAAACTTCTCTCCAACAACAAACGAAAAACAACATGCTGAAAATGTAGACAAGAAAGCCACAGCGTATACGTGCTACTCAATGACAACAACAACAAAAGGTCACGTGTTCCATTAGGATCCACGTGTTCAAGTGTAAGGGTGTTTGATTTGATAATCGGACCACAAATATGAGTTCAATTTTCCAGTTTTATGAATAGGTACATATGTAACAATACTTACTGAATATATAACTAGAAAAATGATAATAACAATCACCGAATTCCTCAAAATCGAAGTTTTATCATTTTTACAACATATAGACATGTCGGAGATACAGAAGCTGATTGTATGTACAGTACATCCTTAGGAGGAACTCCTCCCATTTACGCGCGGCACGTACTTATAGATTGGTGATTTGACCCAAACTCGACACCTGGATCTCGGTAGATCTCTCTCACTTTAGCACGAAGTTTTTCCCGTCTGGTGTCCAAAAGGAATTATTTTTTTGTCATGCCGGAGTTCATTTAACTCGCTTACTATCATCTATCGGTGTTTGTTGAGGGACTGTACTGTCATTGTCCTGTGCTCGTTACCCTTTATCATTTACCTTCTGTCGAAAACCATCTGACGATCATAGTATCGCATAAATCTGATTGTTGACTGTAACTCTACCATCAGAAATTTGACCTAAGATGTGACATCTAGATATAGCATGATGGGACATGTCAATATCAAGCTTGCGAAGGTACTAACGGTGCTATTTTTGCATTACGTTGTATAATTAAGAAACTACTTTCTTGCAATTGTCATCTTTATTGTTGTTTTGTTAAATACCGCATTTTTTTCAATCTGTAAATATAGATGAATTATTAATGAAAAATTATCATAATGAATTCGCAGGAAACCTGGATATATTGATTTTTTTTTCAGATATATCTGTTTTGTATTGCTGACAAGGCTGGATGTAAGATGAGGGGTTGTCTCCCTTCCGTTACTCAATGTATGTGAATGCTTTTGATAAAAAATAGCATACGAGTGCTTTCTATGACGCATTATTTTTAAGACTTCATTGTTTTCTCTAATGTATGTACATGTAGATGGTATTGTTCTTTTCTTTGAATCTGCCTCTGACTTGCAGAAAATATCAGACTCCTTAAAACAATATAGAAATAAATAGAAATTAATATCTCATACGGGGAAAATGTATTTCGAAAGGATGAACATTTTAAATAACAATAAAATAGAACAAAAATATTTGACAGATTTAGTTATCTTACTATAGTACTTAATTTTAATGGTAAGTTTACAATAACAAGGTCAAGCAAGGCCATGATGGAAAATGTATGTATTTTGATATAAAAAAAAAAACCTGTAATCTTCTGTTCCTCATTGCAGAATCAACTTTTTTTTTATGTTTTCTTAGATTTTAATTATGGTTACAAAACGAGTTTTTGTTTCTGCAGATATATTAAGAAAAATGAATATCCCATCTTTTAAGTTAATCCGGAGTTAGGACGTGTGCCTTTATTCTTTATACATTGTATTATCTGGAAACATTGAGTAATCAAATATTGATTGAAACTAATTAAGTGTTGATATGTCAGTTTAAGAGGAAATGGGAGAATTTAAACACATTGACTGCGTTGTATATATTTCTGACTCTGAAAGGTTTTTGGTGTTTTATTTTATATGTATTTTTTATATGACCGTTTTACCGTCAGATTCGGCGGCTGTGAGCAACACGTACACATAAGACTATATACACTACTTCTGTATAATGTCTAAAACTTAAGTAAACAGCACCTTAAAATTAGAATAGATAGTGTTATACGACTGTTTCGTCCTTCAAGGATTCGTCATAAATGCTTGAAGGCGACTGAGAAAAATTCAAAATGGTCAATACTTATAACAAAATCTGACAGAGAGATAAGCTAAACCCAAAATCTACATTTTCATAATTTAAGATCATAAAACGTCGGCGAACTTGCTTTCGTGAAATAAAATAAAATAAAATAATAATAAAAATAAAAAACCTCAATAATGATCATGTCTTCCTGATTGAGATCTCTTGTTGTGGAGAAGCGACACCTAAATTATTCGAAAGTCAGACATTATTGTCCTGGGCTTTTGTACATCAATTCATATTACTAGAGAATGTAAAGGGTGATAGCTTTCGAAATTAAGTATAGTTTCGTGATATTTTGTTTTATGAAGTAAGAAGTACACTTTTTTATTATTTTTTCAGCATTTCACCAGAAGGCGGTCATCATAAACAAGGAAGATGGGTTCCACATGGTCAGACAGCATAAAGGTGGAAAAGGTTGATAGGAAAGTCAAATCAATATGGGAACGAAGGGGATACATCGCTCGGCAAGAAAAGACAGAAATTGGAAGCAACTTCAATTGCTGGCGGACGCCTGTTTCGGAATTTTCATCGAATGAATCAATTCTTCGAGAAAGTTTTCAACAGAACGAAATAACAAAGGAACTTTGGCAAAAAACCTGTGGTGTTGTAGACGAAATCGCGAAATTGTTTCAGCAGAATGTCCAGAGAGTATCCTCATTGAGATATCCTTGCCTATCCTTTGGAAATTTTGTTAAGCAAGGAAGTTCTCGGGAAGGTTTGAAAATTCGGCAACCAGACGAGTTTGATATGGTTCTTCCATTCACAATTAAAGGTATTGATATACACACTGTTCCCGCCCTTGACAACGACGGAGAGCCGATCCCTGCACTCGTGAACCTCCAAATATCCGATTACGGCCAGATTCAAAACATCATTAATTGTACCCAGTACAAGTCATTAAATAGAGACGGCGTCTTTGAAGAACATGGCGCTCATTTGATTCTTAGTGCGATGTGTTTCCAAACAAAGGTAATAACATCTATCATGGATACCACTATTTCAGAGATACAGAAATCAATCGACGCGAGGATAATGAAGGAAAGATGTTCGTTTAATCTCAGTAAAGCTAGCGTGTATCCACCGACATACAGATTCAAGATATTAATGAAAAGCGTTGTCCATTTTGATGACTTGTCTTATGCTAAAGATCTGTTAACCCAATTAGAAAGCCGAACACCGGTATGGCGCCAAGAAAGCAAGGTGATCGAATTCGATATAGTGCCAGCTCTTCTCCTTCAATCCGACCGAGTCCCTAATCCGGATAGTTGGTGTTCTATGAAATGTGAGAGATATGCTGTGATGAAGTGGGTCCACAAAGAACGCTATGCAGATGATTATCCTGATCCTAACTTACTCTGGAAAGAGAGCACATGCGGGTACGAGAAGCACATCATCGATGTTAGTTGTAGAAAGCGAGATTTCCGCTACATAATCACCGCCTGTAGGATTATGAAAGCTTACCTAGACGGTTCTAGTAACTCCTCACAGCTTTCCAGTCTCCTGTCAACATATCACCTCAAGAATATTGCAATCCACTGCATTCTTCTGCGACTCAGAGTTTCAGGGGTGAAGGAAGCTTTAGGCTACTTTATGGCATTCCTTGAGATAAGTCTTCAAGAGGAGTTTTTGCCCCACTTTTTCTATGGCAATCCACATATTTGTACCATGTTTCCAAACCTATCATCCAATGCCACACAGAAACGTCTGAACCTATTTAATAATATCCCCCAGGACCACTTTCACCAGGCTTTTCTTTCCTTCAGACGGATGCAAAAGGATTTACGTGGATTGGTCACCGAATACTGTTACCTGAATAGTCAACAATGTTTTGAATCCTTCAGAGAACTCTGTTGTTTGTATGGTGAACGCAGTACTAGTATGTGCATGGTGATGTGAGAATTAGGAATTAAAACGTTGATTCTTCCAGAATCCTACGGAAAATCGTCTCAAACTCCATTAATATTATAAAAGCATTGATCTCTAGGGTAAATTTATTCACACAGAAGGATATGTTGAGAATCAAGTCAGCGTACTCTTTCATATATATTTGGTCGATAAAAAATGTTGCTAAATACTTCAATTACGATGCAATTGAAATGATGACCACAATACGATTTGATTGGTCAGGATAGCAGTTACGAGAGGTATCCTGAAGGATATTCCGTTCCCCGGTGTGGAGATTGCCAAGCAAAATCTAAACGAAAACATGGATTGTCGCATTTCATTTTAAAATGATAAGGACAGGAATGTATTACAAAAATTTAGAAATAAAATTGGTGGATATTGCAGTACTATATGCAATCCGTACATTTATGGGAGTGTATATGTCTAAAGTCTGGAATAGGATAAGGTAATTCGAAGGGTTCTTTCTCCTTGTTATTAGTGTGAAATATAAGAACCATATTTTTCATCTAAATAAAATTTAGTGTTAAATCGATATCTACATAGTCAGAGAGCAAACAAGGTAACTGAAAACGCAAACCAACATCATCTTTTTTGCGCCTTTTGTCGAGTCTTAATATTTGGAACAATCTCTTGTTTACTGATTCCCTGTTGAATTTCCCTCTACAGTTATTTGTAAAATCAATAGATAGGCTAAGGTTTAAACAAACATCTAGAATACCTATCGAAATATATCTGGTTCCAAGTACAAATGGAGTTTTCCTTAGAAATTCTGTTCAAACATTCCTTTGGCTATGAGCCTTCAAGGATTCTTGCTATAACTATTTCAGGAGTACTGGATGTACCTTCTTAGTCTAGTAGGGTACCGATTGTCTCTAGTTGTGCATTTCTCTATTTTGAGACAGGTATGAAAAGCAATTGTCCGACAAGTTGCCATCTCGCATTTTACAGTTATATCTTTTGATCACTATTTCTTTCAGCCTTCATACTCCAGAGGTTGCTTGCGAATACATTTGTTTTCTGCACTCCAGGAATATTTCGTAATAAGATTGGAGGCAGAAGCGAAGTAAAGTAATTCAAAAAGAGTAATAAGAGATTGCTCCTTTGAAGATTACAAAGGAGCGACACCCAAATTCAAAGCGAGTCAAACATATCAGTATGCAACCTAGAGATTCGTTTAATGTGCATCACAGAGTCAGGTTTGACTTCTCATCAAATCCACAAGATGTCGCGCTGTGTCTTTAGTTGTGCATTTTCTCATTTTAGGACTGATCCGGAAAAAATCTCTGTCAGGCGTCCATCTTGAATTTTGACAATAACCTATTATTTATTAAGAAGTAGTGGATGGATTCTCAAATTTCAAATGTACTGCTTTTTTTCACTATTCAACCATTGCAGCCACCCAAACAGTAGATCAATGCACAAAAAGTGGAAAATGCGCATGAATCAAAATAGTTATGCCCACCACTTATTGATAAGTACTGCTTTATATGTCAGATCATCTCTATTCCACGTGTTAACTTAGCCAATACAGAATCTAAAAGTGCAGAAAAAAAAGACAAAGTCTAGTGTTACGCCAGGGGGACATAGTTTTTATCGTTATTTCAGCATCAATGTATTGGATTTTCTCACCAAAATTCGTGATGCATCGAATTTTGAACTGGATTTTGTTTAATAAAACTAATCTTGGTTGGTTAATCGGGTTACAGTTCGTCTCCGTGACTGCTGTTTCTATGTGTTGTTTTAACGGCGAATGTCGGTGTTCTGGCGAAGTGTATAAACATATGCTATTTACATGACTGATGTCTCATATGCCTCTTACTCTTTCGGAACGCCTGGTCTTAATCACTCTGTAAATTTCTGGTGACTCCGAGTTGTTTTTTTTTTTTTTTTTAAATTTTATCCTATTTTTTAATTTGAGTTTGGATTAGGGTTCTGTTGGCACTTTTGTTGCTTTTGTGCTTTATGTATAGGTCATCAGCAGAATATAAACCACCTGAGTTTTTCTCGGAAATCAGTACGGCAGTTTAAAGGTAGAATTGCTTCAAATACGTTGTACGTTTCAATTCATTTAAAATGAAAAAAATACGCCTTTCATTTTTTCCAACGGATAATGCATTTTTAGGAAGCAACATATATTGCAATTATTTCAGTATACGTGGATAGTAGTTTTGTTTTGCAGAATAATATGCTTTATCGTTCCTATACAAAGTAAAGGATTTCTGATGTACCTAAACTAAATGGACGGTCCACTATCGATGTTTTTACGTTTAAACCAAATAATGAGCCTAAAATACACAGTGAAACAGTGTTTTTCTTTGAAATAGATCGCATATGTGATTGCAGCGCCACGTTTTTAAGATTTCGTGGCATCTTCATGACCGTAGAAATTTTATTAAAGATATTACGATGTGGACAACCTCCATCAACTTTTTGTATCCACCGTCAGATACATCCAATGCTGTATACCAATAAAATATTGTTTGCATAATTTTCTTGTAATTCACAGTCATATGTTTATATTATTACAATTTATCTTTTGAAGACTTATATTTTGTGTTTAAGTAAGAATTAACACACCATTAATATTGCATGCCCTAATTTTTTTCAGAGAGTTGAATTTCCTATTCAAAAGATTAACAGAATCAACAACAACTAATAAAGACAACAGTTTTTGAACAAAGGTACAAAATGATACGTTAATTTCTTCTTAGAAATAACAAAAACTTATAACAATACCATCAAATCAATTGTATCAAGATTGATTGTTGTGTCAAGACGATGATTCTACATTGTCGTCGTGATACCAGCTGAGAGCCTCGTGATGTCCAGGTCTGTATCTCCGCGATACAGGATAGTCGCATCAACATGATGAAATGTAGCTATTGTCAGGCGCATTCATCAGTCCAATCATGTTGGATGTAAATGACAAAAAGGACAATCTTATACGTTTAATGGGAAATCATGTTAAAGCGACTATGTTGTTAAAAACACTACGAGAAAATGATATAAAACGTTCTATTTTCCAGTAGTATGTTACAAAGCTAAGACTTTCTGTTAATTACTAAGATTAAAAGTCACTGCAACCATTTTTCTTGATATCTAGAAATAAAGAATGTAAACAGTGCAGTCTGGATCTAATTCATACATTACCGATCGTAACCCTGATGCTGCGCATGCGTATAAGCCTAGAAAGAAGCAATATGGCGGACGCAAATACGAAAAGGCGACGAGGATCTAAAATTTACATAGAGAATGTGCCAGACAACGTAAGAGGAAGGAGTCAGACCAGAAAAGAGGACAGGCGAGAATTTATTTAGGACATCGAAAGATGACGAAAGATGAAGGAGGATCATGGACTGAATACGGATTCAGAATTTGCGCTGCTGCTTGACTGGTTAGCTTAACGTTATCCCTTTAATTGTAACGTATCCGTCTGTAATTGATTATAATGCAATATCCAGTGTTTGGCACGTGAATATGTTATGAACAACACTAATGAAAGTGTTATCTGATAAATGTTGAATGAAAATAGTTATGTTATTCACTTGAATTTAATATCGACAATGTGTTTTTTTGTGAACTGCAATGTGGGGCCCTATTGGGGATATTCGTTCTAAGTGTCAAAATATGACGGTACTGGTGTTACTGTGAAAATAACGACCGTGGCGATGAACATAACCTTCATAATAAACACATTGACACATGTTGAATGGTAAACAATATCTATTAATGTGTACAGACAAAGTATCATTTCCTGTGCATTTCTGCACACTGTGTTTTTTTTATATTCCGACTGTAATTACCCCTTTGGGGCCCACTAGTTTAGCGGCGGAAGTAAACGACTTCGTCACGTGACTAGCCATGTGACCCACTCGGCTTTCCTCGTAATAAACCGAGCGTGAACAAGTTTATAAACAATAGTCAAGATAAACAATGTTCCGACACCGAAAATATGTACAAACACAACAATTTTGACGTTATAGGCGGGTGTTTCGCTTTATTGTGGATATATTTGATTGTTCATAAGCCGAATTCTGAATAGCTAATAGCTGCTTTAATTATTTCAGTACATATGAAAATAAGTTCATATGGCAACATATTTACTTCCAGAATATATGAAAATTAAAAACAAAAAAGTCCATGAAATTTGTTTGATTTAGTGTAGGGTTGGTTTAAATTATTTAATAGCATTAAACACCCTATCATATACAACGACTTTGAGAAATATCATTTCAAAAACATTTTTGGAAAAACGGGAAATGTCAATTGTCAAAATTAATGATAGCTGCCTGTCGGTTATTTTTCTGTTTGATTGGTCATATTTTAGTCCAATGTATAAAATTATGTCAAAAACCGAAGAGCGATTAATCCTACACTTGATAAGCTATATTTGACCTTGACCAACATTCAAGGTCACAGAGGTCAAATGTGTTAAAACCTTTAAACGACTTCTCCCCAAATACCGGAAGGCTTAGAATCATTATATTAGGTTACTATGTTCCTCTTCTGATGTCCTACAAAGTTTGCTAAAAGAAATGACCTTGACCAATCTTCAAGTATACAGGGGTCAAATGTGTTTAACCTTTAAACGACTTCGTCTGAAATACTGAAAATCTTAGAATTATTATATTTGGCCAGTATGTTTCTTTTATCAAGCCAAAGAAACTTTGCAAAAAGAAATCACCTTGACCCAAATTCAAGGTCACAGATGTCAAATGTCTTAAAACCTTTAAACGACTTTTTCTGACTGACCAAATAACTAGGATAGTGATATTATGCTAAATTAGGCCCTCAATGATGGCCGATAATATTTGAGAAAGAAATTACCTTGACCTATACTCAAAGTCACAACGGTCAAATGCGTTAAACCTTTGAACAACTTCTGCTTAACCAAAAGAAGGCCTAAAATCATAATATTCGGTCAAAAGTTCCCTTTATAGTGCCCACATAGTGTGTGAAAAAATAGCTTGACCCATAAAAATATCTAGTCATTGGGGTTAAATTTGGTAAAATCATTAACAACTTCTAATTGACCAAATGCTATTATATTTGGCCAGTAAAAGTTTCAAAAAGGCTTATATACAAATATGTAGAACCTTCCAATGACTTATTAAAGGAATATATTTGGCTCGGAATTGTCTTGGCATAACTTGGAATAAATTATAAAGACCTTTCACAGTGATGTCACACTGTTCCGAAAAATATGTGAGGCCAAGCCCCCTGGAGGTCTGAGAGGCTTGAGCAAAGTAATGTGAAAAACTACATGTTAGCCAATTACTTATATTCTATTCACAACATCTAAATAAAGAAAACCTGATCGGAAAGAGAATTGCAAGGTCTTCATTTTGATTTAAGATTCTTCATAATTATGGGACAAATAAATAAGAAATTCTAAGTTGATACCATTTGCTATGCAGTGTTTATAGGTCTACAGTAAACTGTTATCAGTATATCTCTAGTAATCCGGACTTAACTTACCATGGTGACATCACTATGATATGCATGAAACGTTTTATTATTGGTTTTGAGTTAGGATTATGGTTTATAATTACCTTAATTTTTCCTGTCTTTATATTTAATTGTTGCTATATATTGTTGACTTGTGCAAATCTCAAATATGTTGTATCTGTGTTTGTAAACAATGATCTAAAGAGCAAGTAAGCTTCTGCTGTCCTGGGTCATCCGTCCAGCTATTACTAAGAGTTTTACCGCCATATTGTTTGACTATCTTCTTTCCTTGATTTAAAAGAAAACTATCAATTATATTTAACTGGAAACATCATAAGAAAGTCTCAATTCAACATTGCACAGATAGGGGGCTGACTACTACGGGACAGAACCCATATGGAGTAATTTGTCATATTGCTTTAAGCATCTACTGTGGAACATATGCACAGATATAGTACTGTTGTCATAAAGATCCAAGTGAGCGATACCGGTGACCTCTTGTTTGGTACCATTACCTATGTTTGATATAGACGAAAGTGAGATTTATAAGTATTTTGTTATGTAATATTAAAATCATGTATGATTGACCGATAAAAATATATCTCACTACACATAAGTTTAATTGTAACAATGTCTGAATGATACACTTAAATTCAGACTAAACACCCCGTAGTTGCAAGTGGTGAACAGTGTTAAATTATGATTGATGCGAAATGTGATCAAGACTGAACAATATTTGAATTTCAGCAAAGAGGTCAACAAAGCGGGCGACAGCTATTAAGACCAGTACGAAATAGAACATTATTGTCTCTGATTTTAGTCAGATACCAGTTATATATAGATTTTCACACACGAACACTCATTATAATATGGACAGGATGCAAGGCTTACAGTCTAGGCTTTAACTGTCTGGAGTTATTTCCCTTTGATTAGCCTTAAGTAAATGTTTTATTTATGTTAAATATTATTAAATTATTGCTGATGCTCAAAATCAATGTAACCAGAACATAATATTAATTAGTTTTAATGGATATTTTCACCATTTGTCTACGTGGGTTGCAGGATATTTTTGGTAGTTAAAAGAATATTGTAAATATGCAAATATACTGGATACCTCCGTTCTAACAAAGTCAATTTTGAAACCAACTTACATGGACTTGAAATCCGCATGGCAGGAGAGTTATCATGATGATTATGAACATTTCCCCACATTCTACTAATAAAAAAAGTGTATCGATATTTGCAAGTACGGTGCAAACGTGGTCTAAAACTCAGCTAACGGGTAATTATTGTGTTTTGATTTCTAAATCTAAAATGGATATCGGGGATAGACCAGATGACATTCAATACTGTTTACCGTGTTAGAAGAAGAAGAAGAAAAAAGATGAAGAAAAATCAAAAAGCAAAAAAGCAAAATCAATATTCATTTCAGAGTACATTATAGAGGGGATCGAGAGTATAATTCATTACCACAACATATCGATATCATCATTGCAATTATTTATTTATTAAACTATTATTATATATATTATATTATCAATTATTTTAACGAAAAATCAATGTATCACTGTAGTGATTACTTCTACTCGATCTGTTAGATAAAATTTGGAATCAAAGGCTGCTTCAATCCGGACACTCTTAGGAGGGGCCAGAAAGACCGCCGTTTCCAAATCCATCCCCTTGATTATCGGAACCAACCGGTGAAAGTTCTGAAAAATAAGATAACAGTATGGAATTCTAATATGTCTTTTACTTACATACACTATAATCGAAAGCTATTTGTAGAAATATGATTTATTTGTTGTCGATGTCAACATCCCTTTCTATAATCATTTCTAAATGTATTTCTTCTATACAGATATTCACCTTTTTCCACCAACCCAATTCAAACTAAAGGAACACATTCGTTTTCTTGTTATGAGAGTTTTCTTTTCAAAGACAGGTAAGCGGCGTTAAAATACTTATACGTGTAATTATACCGCAAAGCATCGTGAAATATACGCCCAAGTTAAAGAAGAAAGACACCGAGAATGAAAACAG